TTTCCATTATGCATTTATTCCATGATTTACTCAGTCTGAGACACTCTGACAGTTTTTGCCAGATATCACTAGCAAAAGTCTATAGCTCAGGTTGTATTTCTAGAGGATAGCACTGACACCTTATTCTTATTCCATAAGGATATTTTTATATTCCATAAGGACATTTTTATTAAGAAATGCCATATCTTCATAGAATCATAGAATCATTAAGGTTGGAAAAGAGCTCTAAGATCATCGAGTCCAACCATCAACCCAACACCACCATGCCCACTAAACCATGTCCCTAAGTGCCTCATCTACTCGTCTTTTAAATACCTCCAGGGATGGGGACTCAACCACTCCAGGGATGGTGACTCCACCACTTCCCTGGGCAGCCTCTTCCAATGCTTGACAACCCTTTCAGTAAAGAAATTTTTCCTTACATCCAATCTAAACCTCCCCGGCGCAACTTGAGGCCATTTCCTCTCGTCCTATCGCTTGTTACTTGGGAGAAGAGACTGACCCCCACCTCACTACAACCTCCTTTCAGGTAGTTGTAGAGAGCGATGAGGTCTCCCCTCAGCCTCCTTTTCTCCAGGCTAAACAACCCCAGTTCCCTCAGCCGCTCCTCATGAGACTTGTTCTCCAGACCCTTCTCTGACTAATTACAGATAGTCTACTATGCCAGTTAATAGAGGATATCATTAACATTTATTATTACAATTCTATGATTTTTCAGATTTTTACTCGTATTGACTGCCTAAACGTAGATTATTTTTATTTACACTCCAAATTTCTGTCTCTCAGAAATGAAAGACATAGCTGTAGATTCTTCCTAATCCTGGCTTCTTGCAGGTCTTTTTGTCAATACCAAACAGATTCCATAAACATAAACAGGTCTTAAGATAAAGAAGTTGATCATACTGAATACAGAGCTTTTGTAATGTATTATGCATTTACTTTGCCATAACAACATGAAATTGCTTTACATCAAGGAAATCTGGGTCTTTACTTCCCTCCCCCCAAAAAATTGAAGAAAATTAGGAGGAAGCCAAATTCATTATACCATACCATATTCAAATATATATATATAAAAAGGTATATATATTAATAGATATGTATATATACACAGACACACACAAAAAGCAACAAACTTATTTCACAGCGAACCTCTCCAAACCGGTCCATGCTCAGAACTGGCGATGTTACAGCATTATTGTAAGGTAATGACAAGACTGTCACCTTACATGCAGCTTTACTGCTCAGATATTGACACCTTACCTAGCAACGCAGTATGTTTGTTTAACATAAAGTCAAGGGAATCCCCTCATCCTCATTCACATAAAAATCTGACCTTTTCAGACTCCTACTGATCCTTCAGAGCTCTCCTGGATTATTCAGGTATTATTTGCACCTGCAGCCATAACCATCTTATACAGGTGCTTACCTACAAGGAGGGGCTGAAAAGTAAGGAAGGGGAAAGAGATGTGCTTATATGAACTTCAAAATACAGTTGAAAAGACTGTATCATACAAATAACTGTATCAGCAACCTTCTTCAAAGACATCTAAAAACTTTTTTGAGGCAATAACTGTTAAAATATCCCTTAGCACAACCTCAGCTAGGAACTGTGAAAGCGTGACAAATCTCCAAAGCAAACCTGGAGGCCAAAACATGTCAGGTCCCATGACTGCTGACAACCGCGTTTGTGACTTAGAACCCTTCCTTAGAGAAGTGCTAAACCTGGGGCAGGTGAAGGTGCCATGTAGGCTACATACTGTGTTACGTTTTATCCCATGCAAGAGCCCCATTCCCTTTACTGTCCTACCACACTTACTCAGTTTCCTCAAACCAGGACTCCATTTGCAAGCTAACTACCCCTTATCCACCTACTAGTCATCCTTTACATGTCCCCAAGTCTGCAAATGCCATTAAGTCCCACCCAGCCAAGGCTTATAAGCCACATGCACATGTGCTGGCCATTTGCGAAACACATGCCCAGAACCAGAGCTCCTCAGACATGCCAGTTCACTGTGCGTGTACTGCACAGTCCACGTGCATGAGCTGGTCTAAACTTTTCCAGACAAAAATGCATAAAACCTACTTATGGGTCTGCAGCTCCAGATTGTATAGAAATTTAGCTTCTCTCTGCTTTTGATGTCAGGCTTCCCCTTCCTCAGCACCCATGCTGGCAAGCAGCTACAGCAGGATAGGCTCAGATCCAAGACATGCCTCTGCAAGTAAAGGAGTGAGAGACACACCTCAAACATTTGCACCACTGCAGCGTTTCTCCCCTTCCATGCTGCGATCTGCAGAACAAAGCTGGCTGGCTTGATTTGCAAGCTAAGAGTTTTGGTTACTCTTAACTACTGAGCTAAGTGAGCTGCTGAGAAAGTTGATGTCAGGTAAATGAAGCAACCAGTAGAAAAGAGGAAATCAATAGCGGGTTTGAAGAGAACATAATTTTTTATATGCTTTCTAAATTGCACTCTAACATGAAACTGTAAATACAAAAAACCCAAACACTCCAATCTGTCCCTTTAGTTCCTCATTGTATATTTGGCAACTCATATCCCTCCAGGAAAGAAACTACTTTAACTTCTTCTTTATCACACATATTCATTTGCAATACATTCCATTCATGCCAATATGAATCACTAACAATGTATATCATAAGCAACAACAGGAGCAATGGATGATTAAAACCTGGAAGAATTAGTCATTTGCTTACAGAAGCTACCATGTAATTTCAAAAACGTTGGGTTTGCAAGATATTTTTGTACTGTTTCCCAAGACCAGAATTTTGTTGCTAAAATGCAGCAGCAGCTCTTAGTTGCAATCAATGGTGCAATTTACTGGGGGAAGAAAAAAAACCCACAAAATAAGAAAAGATAGCTTTCAGCTGGACCCATAGATGCCAATCTCCTCAAACTTCAGGGAGGCTTATAGCTCAGTCCCCTTAATGAAAACCATCTCAGAAGAAAAAAAAAAAAAAAACAGGGAATCAAGTTAGAACCCTCTATAAAAACATTCACCAGTATAGGAAGTGCTTAGATCCATAGCTTCCTCCTCTGTCAAGCTCAACTGCTAGTTAAAAAATTGCTTCATCTGACCATACACACAGCACTTGCCTGTGTAGAAAGAGCTGCCTACAGCAAAGTACTGCTTAAGCAGCAGATTACAGCAAACATCAGCTTGGAGGGGCAACGAGAATTACACAAGCTATTTGGCTGCAATCACCAAGCAATTATACCTCAGCAATCTTAATACACTCAAGAAAAGGTTTAAACAGTCTATTTTGCAAAGAAAAGGGGGTGAACAAAAATCAAATCCTTACAACAAAAAATGTAGCTACTTCCTCCTCTTATTTAGAAGGTGCAATAATAGGGGAGGAAATAGCCCTAATATTGCTGGTCTTTGATCTGCAGAGGCAATTTGGTGAGTCATCATTACAGCTGACAAAGTCTGAACGAGCCTGGATGGGTCTGTATGCCAATCAGACAACTCAATATAGTTTTAAATTTCCTCAGGAATTTGGTGATTTCTAGATCTGCTAGATCATCTGCTAATTACCATACACACTACATGTAGATATGCAGCTGCTTTTTGTTACAGTATAATTACAGGCTAAGTATTAAATGTAGGGGGTTCTCCAGTGTCTGAAATGGCATATTTTCACAACAAATATATCAAAGAACCTAAAGAAATGCAGAGATTCACTTGAATTTAAATACAGACTGAGGAAATATGTTTTCTCTGAGATCTTACATGTTCTCCACTTGATCTCCTTGTCTCATACACTCGTTATTAGTGTCTCATTTTGTATGCCTGATATAAACTCATCTATCGTGCTGATAAGACGGTGAGAGAAAAGGCAAAACAGTTTGGAATGGGACTGATGGCTGGGGGGCTATTCAGAAAAACAGATAGAGCTGGGCAAACATCAATCATATGACAATGAACTCAGTATCACTGAAGTCACTGGAAAGTGTTTCAGATATTTCACACTCATTATTATGCCTTGGAAGTCTCAGGAAACAAGAAAATTAATTTCCTCTTCCTGACACAAAAATAGAAGGACAGAATTGCCTCTATTAAATGGACACGTTTTCAGCCTGACCTATCCCCTGTTGAGATCTATGCTGAGAGAGGGCATTTTAGCGTTAGCAGGTTTCTGGACCGAAACCATGCAATCACACACTTGGTCTGGGTACAATCCAGAGACTTGACTGGAAATTTTGCACTAAAGGAAGTGATAGATAAAAAAGGGTTTAATTTAGACTAGCTTAAAACTCTGACTTAAGAAGTTCGGCTGCAAGCTGCGCGCTAGTTTGAACATCAGAAATACTTCTGCTGCTTTAGTGCGGGGCATGGACTCTTTGGCACATTGAGGTGAAAGGTATATGGAGGTACACAAACTATTGAAATTATTTGGCTAACACTGTTTCCAGTACCCAAATTAGCTCGTGCAGCACTAGAGTGGGCACTGTATGTGCCAAGGTGGCACACTAAAAATTCTATTTCTTTTTCATCTTCAGTTTTTCATGGGTTGAGGAGTCACACAGAAGTCTAGCACAAGAACAGACCAAACTGGGACTTAATAGTCTCCCAGCCATTGTTAAAGTAATCTTCCACTCAGCCACTGTTATCCTAATCTGCTGATTTCAGTAAAAAACCCCAAAGAAATTCTGTGGTGGAGCTGGAAAGAGACTGTATAAAATGGCTTATCACTTTTTGAATGATTCATTAACCAGCATAATTTAATCTGCCACATGCCCAGTTAAATTCCAGCTTAACAATGTAGTGTGTGCTACCAGCTTTCCAGAAATGTTACAACAGGCCAGTAATAAAAAGTTAAGCATTAACTAAGATGAGACAACCATGTAGCTACAAAACTAAAATCTATTTTTTAGGTCTTTGCTTATTTCACTATTAAAAATGTCATGCAATTCATGTAATGGATTGATCTTGATTAAATTGATCTTTATTTAAAATGCAAAACCTGTTTTCTCTCTTTTCAGAATGTATCAGATTATGAGCTAAGCCGATTCAAAATAATGCATCAGCCGTAAGTTTCTCATTATTTTCTGCTTCCCCATTAAATGACTAATACTCTGTTGTACTCTGACAGTTCCTCTGTTAATAAATAAGGAAAAATGAGAATTGAAACCTCCTGCTCATGTGAAGGGCATTAATTGATGGGGGTGGAACTTCCTCAGGATTAGGATCCTGGAAGGTTTACAAGAACTGTGGTTCAGATCAGCTGACAAGAAAGTCTCTTCTGCACCAGCTGCTGGGTGATATTCTTCCTCAGAACAGACAGGGACGATGTTAATATTAGGAAAAGTACAAATTCAACTTCTTCCAGAATATAAAAGCTCTTTACTTGTATAGTGTATGAGGCCAGATTTTCCGAATTGTTTCATCTGCTGCTTAGGGATCAATCTAAGTGATCAGATTAACAAAGTGCTGTGTTGAAAGTAATTTAAATAGAATTTAAATAGAGTACTGAATAAGAAAATACAGGTATAACAGTTAGGAAATACCTTCATGTAATTTGTGACAAATCAAGTTCATTTAGAAGGATATCCTTAATGTTCAAGTATATTATTTCTCTTGTATTACTGCACAGAAATAATATTACGGAGTTTTCTCTATAAGCCAATGAAACCAAGAAGAGTTCAGTTTCATATGGAGTGAGTTGCTCTGCTTCACCTAATGGTTGTTATTATTCCATGTAGCATTTCTTTTTTCCCTAGCTGGGAAAACACTGTATCTATTTACGAAACCAGAATTGTTTTTCGAATCCCATTCTATTGGTAAGAACCTGGAGGAACTTGGAGGCATTTTTACCCATTAAAATCCTATTCCTGTTGATAAGAATTTGATGAGAGCATAAGTTAACATTCTTTGGGGTTTGTTTTAATAATTAACTAGATGAGTAAGGAAAATATCAAAGGACTTTCTTGCAAAGTAATTAAGTCTAATGGGACATCATTTTGAGAGAAAATGTAGAGAGCATGAATATAAAGTTAACCAAGGGTGTGATCTCTGTTTCTGTGATATACATGAATCTGATCTTCTACAATATTGGGGCAAACAGAAATCTACTGAACTGAGACCAAGATTTGCACTTTTACTGATGTGGGCATTCAAGCTTTGGATTCTCAAATTGTAAATTCAAATAACAAAGGTGTTTTGTAATATGAATTCTGTTGTCAAGTATAAAACAAAAGACCAGAGTAGATCAAGTCCAAAGTAGTAAAATTCCTGAAATGCACAGTGTGGATGTCACATCCCTAGCACCAACTTTCATTCTAAAATCTGTTGTACTGTATCTGTAAGTACATCTTACTACTTGCTATTGCAAAAATTGCCTGAGTTTCTAGCACTTGAACAGTTTGCATGTTTTAACTGGGAAAGATTTACATTGATCCGCCTAAGCCAGATGCACAGGCCTGTTCAAACCTGTTCATACAGCAGGTAATCCCCAATAGACCAAAACACTAAGGACAGATAAATGGAAAAATAGTAATTGCCAGACAAGGTGAGACCAAAATCCTGTGTTTCTCCTGGCAGTGGCCAGTGCTTCAGGTCTCCGCCTGTTACGGAAGTTTCTTCATGGGGCTTCATTAGACAGAAGCTAGTTCCCCTGACGTGCCACCATCAGAAGCTCTTTGCCTTTCCTACTCTAGTTCTCACTAGTGCAACAGTTGGTGTTCTTTTCCACAACAGAGATTTTGAGTCTAGAAGACTATAAATGCTCTGTGAACTAAAACACACAGTTATGCTACATTCTGCTAGGAAATCCCATTACAGATATACCAGGAGCAATCTGCAGCCATGCATAGGTATACTTCCCTGACTTCTGCACCAAATGTCTCCACTAACTCAATGGAAGGCTCTTTTCCCTCTAGTCAATGCTATACCCATTCTCTAAGGCAATTATCAAAGGTAGTTTATTATAGTAATTCTGTTTTGATACTCTGAAATAAACTTTCTTTGCCCTACACTTTTCATGAAGACTCTTATTATATTCTGTTAATACAATTAGCATTGGCTTTGACAGCCTAATGACAGCCTGATGTAAACTAGTTCTCATCAACACTTAAAGCCACAGGTCTACCTAGATTGCTTTTGAGCAGCTACTGAATATAGTAGTCAAATTATCAAGTTGCAATCTCTATTAGTGTCCTATCCTATCCCTGAAATGCAATAATGAAAGATTTCCTTCCCCACTTCCCAAAACAATAACAGAAGAGAGGTGCTACTGTCAAACATGGGACAGCAGAGTACTGAGGCACAAGTCCAAATGCTCTCTGGAGCTGGCTGCCAGGGTTGTGCAACAAACTGCTCTCACAGGTTTATATGTTTTCAACAGTCCTGACATCATGTTGAAATCTTGAGCTTTGCTTAAAGCCCTTCCTCCTGCAGAAGCACCATTGTATTTTTCACTCCACGCAGCAGACTCAGTTGATACACTCCCACCCTGAAAGCCTCGGGTCACCCAAAACACAGAACAAGTTCGCTCTGAAGAATGGCAGTACAACAGCACCTTCCAGATACTTCCGATCAGAGAAGTCTCAAACATCCCACTGATTACAGTCATGGGCTCATTTATTCAGTGTTAAAATTTATGCCAGGAAGAACACTATATAGAACATCACACTACATTCAGAAGCACTCTTTAAGAGAGCACAGATATCAAAATCAACCTCATATCACAGATATTTCAGAATACTGGAACTTCAGTGCTTTCCAAACAAGCTGTCTTGCTATCTTCACTTAACATTTTAATAAGCAGTGCAAATAAGATTGGTATTTATAACTGTATTCAGCAAAACTGGCATATAAGCTATAACTCAATTATAAACATCCATAATTTGGAAGCACGTCTTGAGAAAGAAATGTAATTACAGCTCAATCACCTCAGTGTAGCTAGTCCAAGGCTTACAGTATCAGATGTTTATGCAGAAGTTGTTTCACAATGCTTTCCGCTTACTCAAGTTTCACTTTCCCAGGGACCGTGAAATTAAAGGCCGCCTTTATAGCGAATGTGATTAGAAATTCATCCTAAATCAAACTCAGAATAAATTTTGCTCTCAACTCATGAACTCTAGGGACTGTTTTCCAAAATCAGGACTGGAATCTTTCCTCACAACATCAGCGCTCTCTGTCCCATGTACAAATTCAGAAGCCTGTTCTGGCTGTGTCGGATTGCTAGGTAAACGAGAAGTCTTCACCCGCCAATCAGATATGAGATGTCAAGTCTTGCGTTTATCATTTGTATATAGCAACACGCAGTTATGGAAGATCCTGGATAATAAGTGAGCTGTGATAAGGAACACGTAATTACAAGCTTTGTTTAATTATGGTGTGGGCAGCATTTGATCTCCTTTCCTTGAAATAAACTTCTACCAATTTTCACTGCTGTGAAAAATGTTACTAGTTTATTTTACCAGGAATTTATAGTATATGCAGAAAAATTTGCTATTCATAAATCAAGTAAGTGTCCTGTAATTAAGATTGATTTCTAGATTAGTTTCTAACGTCTTTTTTTTCATTTGTTCATAATTTTTAATAACTCCAGACTGAAATTTTTCATCCTTGCTTTCCAAGCAAAGGAGATGTCTTTTCCTGAGACATGTGAATAAATTCTCAGTTGTAAGAGATGTTACATAACAGGAAAGTACCTTTGTAACGCTGAGATGTTCCACTTGAAATGTCTGCACTTGCATAATTCAAACTGCAAGAACTAGAAACATTATACATTAAGTCCTTTTTCATCCTCCCCCCTCCACTCGCATTTTTTCTTTTATTTCTTCATTAAGGAAGGTAAACAACCTAATGTGGAAAATTCATTTTTCAGCTTTTTCACAGCTATCAACATTTAAATCCACAGACAAGTTGTCCATACACCAGGTGCAAAGGCCTGGATCCCCTCTTAGCCCCTTTGTAGCTGGGTCACGAGAGAGTTCATAAGGCAAAATCTTTTGGAGTGATGGTGTCCAATAATCACTAAACCTGGATTTCATAAATGTGGATTTGAGACCTTGCTTTGCCTAAGTAAACTCAGCTAAATTATTTTAGCATTCCCTGCTTCCTTTCCCACCTGCAGTGTGGAAATAATAGTATTTCCCTATCTCACAGGGGTGTTATAATGGAAAAGCATCAGGAATTGCGATGTCTTTACTTAAAATAGTAAGGAAAACTGTACAACTGCTCTGCAGGTGAAAACTGTAACTTGCTTCCCAAGGTCCCATTCACCAGCTGTGATGCCACAGGGCCACGGGAGTTACATACATTGGGGACATCTGAATATTGTGGGGACTAGTGGCCAAGCAGTGGCCCATACTGCCATCACTGCAGCTGCCAGACCGACCTCTGTGCTGCCAGGGGCCGTTCCAGGCTTGCAGGCAACAAAAGAGGATGATGGTTCAAAGGGCAAACAGGCCTCCGCTGGCAAAATTAATTCTAGTCTACTCGTGACAGAGATTTACACCCATCTTTTCTCTACAATTTAGTCAGACACTTCAGTGCATTTTAACTCATTGTCCATTATTCTAGAGAGAATCAGTGTCTCAAACACTGGCACGCATAATGCATTTTCTTCCATTACATTTTTACTTCTCATTCAAAAGACAGGAAAATTGGAGCCATAAACATTAAGGCAATAGTTAAAATTAAGAATAACATAAAAGAGAAGTCAAAAAATAAAAAAGTAGACTTCTAACAGACTACAATGACGTTCAAATTTCACATGCAGAGAATTTTCTAATCCTGTTTGGAGGGGGGATTACATAGGCATTATTATTAAGTTTATTCTTAGTTAATAAATGTAGGGTGTGCAACATGATACTTTCAGTTTCACTTTGAAATGTTTTAATTTCTTGCTCCTATATTTTTATTTCAGTAGATTACTTTGCCTAACCAAAGACAAATCCTAATAAAAATACTACTAAAATCAATGCGATTTCGATGAGAACTAGACTGTTTCCTTAAGAAATAATAAAGACAAAGAGCTTTTGCTTTCTCTTTAAGCAAGATGCAGCAGTACAGAAATCTTGT